TGTCTCAGAGCGGCTTACAAGCTGCTTTCGATCCGCAAAAAACACAAACAGAACCATGTTTTTGTGTTCTGTGCCCATCCATAGCTACAGGTCCATCATCCTCTTATTTCAAAAGCAGCAGCACAATTGTTAAAAGCTCTCTGTGTATGATATCGTCATGTGCATGAACACTGAACACCAACTGTGAGGCGGTGATCGGCTTTATGTAGGTGTTTTATGTGGCCTAATAGTGGTCGTTCACACTGAACACACTGTGGAGTGGAATGAGAAATGTATACTCTTCTTTTCGATGCACCTCCAGTTGACTTTGCCTCACTGTGCCGCATCTCTTGTGCAATAATACACGGCAGAGTCGGCAGCTGTCAGGGAGTTCAGCTGGAGAACAAACTCATTCTCGGAGACAGATTCCATTGGGTCACCGTGTTGGTCTGAAGCAGCAGAACAAACTTTGAGTCCAGTGGCAACTTTACGACCAACAGAAGTTTAATTTGTGGTATAAGCTTTTGTGTGCACACTTCCTCAGATACAGTGAAACAAGACATGGCCAGATCATTAAAGTCATGCATAAAAATATCCCCTGATGGTGGTCAAAGCTTGGGCAAAGGAATATTAATGTCTCTTTTATGCCTGCCGGTCTTTCTCCAATAGAAAATGAAACCACCGGAATGGGGTGTAGGAAGCAGCTTCCGATTAGAGATGGGCTGCTTGAAGAGATTGTGGGTTTTCTCAATGGTGGCAGCGGAGCAGCGCCAGCAGCCGAAACTGAGATACCCTCTGGAGACCTGCTGCCTCCTGAATGAGTACCTATTTGTGTCCAAAGTGTACTTCTTCTATAGGTGTGTAACCAAAATGAATGTTTCAAAGACACCAGAAGTCCCCAGGTCACTCTGCTACCTGTCTGAATAGCTCAGGACTTAAGGACATGGTGTGCGTAGTGGTGTTTGTGCATTTACATACATGCAACACAAGGCTCTGTCTTTTTAGAATCAATGAAGTCAAGCTGAATGAATTTTAATGCAAAGGTTGTACACCTGTATGGTCTTGATTTCCTCTTTCAGTCCAGTCAATGCTGGAGAGCTGCCAGAGGCAGGGGAAGGTTTTTGCTTGGCTTCAGAGTCACTTCCTACCATCTAGTCCATTTTGCTTTATTAATTCTTGACTGGACTTTCACAAGAAAATTCTGGGGAAGTCTCTTGGGGAGGCAAATTCACAAGAGACAAGTAGAACGATAATGTTGAAGAAAATGTCTGCAGAAACCACCAGGTTCACAGTTGAAACCACAACCGGACACGCTTGACTATCCGTTTTATTTTCTTCCTGGCCAGTGGCCAATGACAGTTTGTATTCTGCATATCACTTCTGCCCCCTTGTGAGATATAAAAAAGGAAGATAATTGAGAAGACTGGTACATGTGAAGAAATCTTCTGCTATGATGTGAGACGCTGGGTAGGCCAAAAAAGTCCCATACCACTGATCTGACACTGGGGGACTGGACATTTTTATGCTTCCCTCCTGCATCTTTCCCTGAACAAAGGTGGACATTTGTCCCAGGAGTGAATTTTCATGTTTACCTGTAAAACCTAGAAATTGCAGGGGCAGGATGCCATTCAAGTTGGGAAGAGAACGTTTTCACAGTCCTCTCCACACCATTTACCTAAACGTATTTGCCAAGTTGAGTTTTAAGAAGCGAGTTCTGAGCACAGGTCTCCTGCATCCTTGTCCATCTTGAATACAATATCCTCTGAGATGCAATTTTTTGTGATAAAACCAGTGGCAGAATTTGATTTATAGGACATGTCACACTTCTCCCCATTGGAGCCTTAACCAGATAAGACTGTCCTACTGTCCTCCATCCCCTCAATAATAACTCTGTGTGGTATGTAAGGGAGTTGGGGGAGGGTGTCATGCCCAAAGTCAACCAGCATCCCCATGGGTCTGAGGTGGGATTTGAGCCTAGGTCTCCTGAATCTGAGGGACACACGCTAACTCCAATGCCATACTGACTGTGATTGTTCATGTAGGTTCTAATATCCCCTTTGTCTTCTAAAGAGGTGGACATGTTCCAATCTCTCTGTCTCTGCTGCTCAGGAACCACAGCTTCCTAACCAGCTAGTGTTGTGTGTGTGTGTGTGTGGAGATAACCCGGGCCAGAATGTTCCAGTCCTCTTCATTTTAGGCACAATGTTCTGCTTCTACACACTTAGCAAAGGTCACACCCCAGAGCTGTCTCTTATGCAAAGGACACTGAAATCCAAATATAGCACTTCCTCTGATGATCCCACCATTCAATAAAGAAGATGTTTGTCTGCAGCTCAGTCAACCAGGAGCGTTGCCAAGGATAAGAGAGGGTATTTGCCTGGCTTCAGATTCTCTTTCTCTCACTGTGTGTGCTGCACAGTAATACACGGCTGTGTCTTCAAGTTTCAGGCTGTCCATTTGCAGATATGCCATGTTGGAAGGGTTGTCCCTGGAGATGGTGAAGCGCCCTTGTACTGAACTGGCATAAAATGTCTTGCTCCCATCAGTGTATATCCGTGCAATCCATTCCAGACCCATGCCAGGAGCCTGCCTCACCCAGACCGTGCGATAATTACTGAAGGTGAAGCCGGAGGCTCGACAGGAGAGGCGGAGGGACTCTCCGGGCCTTTTGATATCCCCTCCGGAGTCCACCAGCTGGGCCTCAGACAGGACACCTGGAAAGAAAGACATTTTAAAGGGGCCTGCTTCATATTTACATCTTGATGTAACTATCTTCTTTGTGTGAATGACCAAGAATTACCTCTGAGTATAGCTGAAAAGAAAACAATTTGAAGCCACCATATCATTTTCCTTTGATTTCTTTGACTATAGGCTAGGAAGTTACAAGGTGCAGAAGATTGTCTCTGGGTGTCTGGGACTGACAAGGGGCTGATTTAAACA